CTCTAAGCTGTTGAGCGACCTACCCATATATCATCAAGATTGGTAGTGCGATATATGGGTGTCGACAGGATGGTAGCGTAGCCAAGCAAATAGTGATAAAGCGGAACTAACGGCTCCTGGATTTTTGTCAATTACCTGAAATACTCGATCACACTTACCAATCCCTTGAAAAATCTTGACCGAAGCATCCGGCCTCAAATTTGATGCCGTTTCATATAGTCCGACAACAAGCCAAAGATATTTTTCGATATCAATTGCGAGATGAAGGGAGCATTAATGAAAAGTCCATTCTAAAAATATTACCTAGCGTTAACGATACAAATAAACCTTAAAAACCGTCGAAAATCTAAGTGAAACGGTAATACCTTTACAAACCTACCATATGAATCGGGATATACAGAACTTCTTTGAAATAGGTCGGCAAAAATGCTTGCATAATTGCTGCCGAAAAATTATAGCTGAACTTGGCTTGGATAGATGGCCAAGGATGATCGGCTAATTAGCAGCTGCTTCCACGGGACTTTGTTGTCCTTCTAAAGCTCGTTTAATTTCTAATTTGTAATAATACTCACAAAAATTTGAGAGTGATGCTTGGCCGCTAGATTCTTCTCGATGTACATTAATTCCTCGGCTGAGGTCCACTGGTTTTCACTTGGAAAATTTGTGGCAAAGATTTGCCATGCTAGCGCCCAGATCAGCCCGAGTCCGCCTGAATTTAATGGGGTTTAAGCTGTTAGCGAAGCATATTTTGGATGAGTAAAAATGGATGAGGTCGTACCGAATATGTAGAAAATCGAAGGCCATCCTAATGGAGATGAACACAGGCTAGCGGCGATGAAAGAGGTCAACCCGGCGGCCAGCTAGACAAAAGGTTTTTGTACCGATTTACTGAATGTGCTTTATTAATTTTATCATATTTTATAGTTTCATGAAGGTATCACTAACTTGATTCCCACTTGTATAAAGCGCTCCAACAGTCGACTTTTCACTAGGAGGGAACCATTTGGCGGCCATGGAGTTCAGGCATGGAAAGACGAAGCCCTAAAAACGTCATAACTTAAAGGGCACGTTCGGGGACGTTTTTGGGCAACAAAGAAAAGATTTTTGCCGCGGCCGGGGGTCGAACCCGGGAGCCCCGCTCGGGAGAGGCGGATGGATACCAGTCCGCCACAGCTACAACACGGAACAGAATAGCCGCGACGCACGGCGCGCGCACGGCTTCCGCACGGCGCGCGCTAAATTTCGCGGCGCGCGCACGGCTAGCGCACGGCCCGTGCGCGGCTTCCGCACGGCCCGTGCACGCGTGGTTCACGGCTTTTACTATCAATATTCGTCCTTTTGCTTTAAAATTTGTATTGTGTAGTTTGTGTAGGCTTTTAATGTGCTGCCAGCCGCGGGCTTGTGTTGGGTATTGTGCAGAATGAAAACAAACGGCCAAAAGATTTATTGGCAAGGTTATAACGGTTTAATTCGGAATGGTGACAAGGGGAAACAACAATCAACGGGCAGGGGTGAAACAATACAACAAATGATCAATAGGACCTAAAAACGTTTTACCTAATCACGGGCACGGAATTGCACAGCGTTAGTCCAGGGTTGCTATGGCGCGCCCCAGCGACAGTACCCCAGCCGAGCCTTTTCGGGGTCTCTTCCTCTCATCTTTCAACGCGTAATTGGACACAAAACCCAAGGAAACCGAGAATAGATGAAAAAATAAAACTAATTGATTGTATGAAGAAAGTTTTGGAGGTTTAGATCTTGATACTGACTGTTTTGCTGCCTTTCATACTCATAAGATTGAAATTTGCACACAATGGCGCAAGTGCCGGGTTATTTTGACGACCATGTTTCTTTTATAGGAGAATGGAGCTAGTCGGGGCCGTAATATCTGCATTATTCACCGTTTTGACACAGATTCTTTCATTTAATCGTGAAATCATTTAGTTAATACATAAAATTGATTTCACTGACTTCATTGAACGTTCCCGAAGCCATTATAGTGCAGCATCGGCTTGTCGGAGCCCAGTTTCTGATGTTTCTGGGCGTCATCATTCGTTCCAGCTATTTAACACATGGTTTTTCGAGTCAGTATGGCTTTTATCATTAAATTATGAATTATGTTCCCAAAGCCTGATTGTGGTGTGCTATTAGCTCCAAACTATAAACTGTATAATGAAAAAGAAGCTGAAGCTTGAAAGTAGAAGCTTACTAGGCGTTTTGCTGAAATTACTTGACGTTTAATTGAAGAATAGGCTTAGCTTGGCTTTAATCTGTTTAACTGGCGTACGTGCAGCGGACATCAGCTTTAATATACCGCTCGTCTCAAAAAAATAGGATAGTTGACGAGCTTCGCGTACAGCCCACATAAGGCAATACTAAAGCAGGGCTCAAGCTAGCTTAGCTTTTACATAAACTTACAGCTTAAACATCGTTGAGGTTTCTTGCGTTAAAAAATTTGCCTTCCTCGCATCGGAAAACGGCATCGACATCGCTAAAATTCTGACGGAACGAGTGGTAATTATTACCAAGTTAATTTACACATCCATATTATCAAGTTGGAAAGCCGGCTGGCTTTGCCTGATGAGCTAGACATTGCTTGGCTACTAAAAACGTTGCTGCTCTACTGTGCTCATGAAGTCAAGATGAAAAGCCTGAAACAAATCCGCAGAATCAGCTAGTATGTCATAAACGCACCAATAAAATAGTGAGAGATTAAGTCAAACTCTTGCTCAAAGCAAACGCCTAACCCTGTAGTCGGTCGCTGCTAACCCTGTTGCTATTCAGATAGATCGCCTCATTCAGCTTTGGGACGTCATCTTTTTGAATATAACTGAAACAAGGATCCGTCAATTAAAAGCTGAATGTGAATAATAGACACAAGTTAATTGCTATACGCTCGCGATTGTTATAGGCAAAAAGAAACATGGTCGTCAAAATAACCCGGCACTTGCGCCATTGTGTGCAAATTTCAATCTTATGAGTATGAAAGGCAGCAAAACAGTCAGTATCAAGAGCTAAACCTCCCAAACTTTCTTGATACAATCAATTAGTTTTATTTTTTTCATCTATTCTCGGTTCCCTTGGGTTTTTGTGTCCAATTACGCTTGAAAGTTGAGAGGAAGAAACGAATGTTGCCCCGAAAAGGCTCGGCTGGGGTACTGTCGCTGGGGCGCGCCATAGCAACCCTGGACTAACGCTGTGCAATTCCGTGCCCGTTACCTAATCACCATCAAGTCGACCTGCCTACAAGTTACGGTCACGAATTTAACATTTGGATCTTAATAGACTAAATAATCATTTTAATAATAATTTAACTGAATTTCCGGTAATAAAACCACGAATTTTAGCCAAAAGTTAAGAGATCAACGTGAAAAACTAAGAAGTCAAATCATGATTACCATCGGGGCAAAAGATTGAAAATTTACCGACAGGCTTTAAAAGCCCAGCAATTTTGAAAGCTTAAACGGACCAAGAAATAAGGCAATTTGGGATCAAACCTGCCTTCCTTCGTGCTTGCTCTCTAAACTCTAGGCAAAATCAGCTTTCAGTATTTTCGGTGTGTCGCTCGGTCGCTGGCGCTCGTACCAATGTCGGATCCGCTGGTGCTCGACGTCGACAGCGGCCGCGTCGATGAAGGCATACTTTCGATCAGTGCGTCGCGCGTTATTCCTAAACATGGGCGGTTTTGAAAGGAGACCGATACTTACAAGCTGGCGAGCATATTGATGTGAAATTGCTGGGCCAAGGCACCCCAGTGTTCGGCTTGACTCTAGAAAGCGGATACACCCGAGCAAAGGAAAATTTACCTGTCAAGCGTGCTCCTTCTGAAGGGTGTATGTAGATATGATCCTTGTTCTTGTCGACATCACCGTCTGAAGAGGCCAGGAACACGTTTTTGACGCCGGGAGGAATGATCTAGAGGAAAGTAGAGAATTCAGTCCGAAGACCAATACCAGTTTGATGGCATACGCAGCCATTTCGTGTAGCTGTTCTTTGAAATGTCCGGCGGCAGATGAACTAGAGGCACGGTGCAGATTTATGGCCTTCTAAGAACGACGATAGTTGGATTTTAAAAAAAAGGTTACCGAGACACAGAGCGCGAAGTTGAAAGATCGCAGCTTGTCGGATGCGGGGCTCCAGCATAAATCTTCCCACTTCTTCGGGGTGAGGCCAAGGCGGATCGAGCAGGTGAGGAAAGCATCCTGCTCAATGGGTGGGGCGCGTTTCCGGGAATTGCCGGCTTTGAGAGACGCGATCTCGTCTCGCAGTGACATGATGAGGTCAGCGTCTTCTTCACGACGCTGTTCCAGGTCAGAGATACGCCGCAAGGCATCGGCCAACGGGAAAAGTTTTGTTATAGGAATCTAATTGAGTAGATACCTTGAGCTCGAAAGCAATTCCGGCGATTCGTACGGGCCTTGGAACTTCGCGTGTACGAAGCAGTCCGACGGCGGCTGTGTCTGGGATATCCTAAAAAATAAAAGCATAAATGCGCATAAATACCGTGTAATCCGATCGCTGGACTGCTGATTCAACTTGATCGACGATCGGGTCGGAGCTACGGTTACGAGTGCGGCCGAAGTGCTGACTTTCCCAATTCGGCTAAAGGATGCCGAATACGCAAGAGAAAATTCATGATACCTGCGATTCGATATACATACGAGGAGACGGCATTGTATCCGTATAGTTGCTGCCCATTCCGGAAAAGGAGACATTGGGGGCCTTTGGCGAGAATTGGTGGCGTGGGGAATGATGAGGGGGTTCCTAAAAACATAAAAGATTAACAAGAGGCTTCCTTGCCCTTGCCATTCCTGACGACGGGCGCCTTGGAGTTGCAGAGGGCGATTGATAGCAGGGAGATCCGCTCATACTCTGAAATTTATGGTTGTATTAAGCGACATATACGGGGAGTGCAAAAAGGAAGGTACGAGAATCGAAGCCGACCGTAATAGCATGGCCAAAACCCCCACCACGAAGTTGGACAACAGCCAGATCTGAGGGGTCGCGGGAAGTCAAAGTTGTGAAGGGTAAGGACTGTTCATTTAGAGCGGTCCGAAGCTGGGCAAGAATTATCTGAGATGCAGGGTGTTTCGGGAGACGATCCTCTATGGGAAAAGTGGTAGGAGACGCTGTTGAGAATTCGGCGATACCAATATACCCAATATACCCTATTGCTTACCGATAAATCGACAAATATTCTTCGCGTAGACGATTGTGTAATACCACGGAGGTTGGCGGCGCTCCTGACGACGAGGCATTCACTAAATAATAATCGATTCCTATGTCGCTATCTACAAGCTCACTCAGTAATCCTATCGTCTCCATCGCAGACAAAGTCATCCCATGTTCAAGCTTCGCCGACATAAACAGCAATGTGGTCTCGTATGTGCGCAGGTCCAAACCCAACTTTGCAGCCATTCTGCCCGCCTGGCTCGATGCACCTGGAAATCATACATTCACAAATAATCAGAATAATAATTCACCTTTATCCCAGGTGATATCCCTTGGCGGACGAATCTGCATCGTTGTTGGGTGAACTGCGCCCCCCACTTCGAATAAGCCACCTTCCGTCGCCTGGCTCGAAGCACCTAAATCAACGATCATACCACCTATCAGGTTATGCTATATTTTGTTTTTCTGCAAGCCCCGCCAATGTTCCCTACTCATATAGTAAAAAAATACTGACCAGCTTCCGAGGCGTATACCCTGGGCGACGGCGTAGCCGATTCGTCATCGGGTTCATGGCTTTCCGGTTCCTCGACGGTCAACACTCTGCCATCTATTTTTCTTTGTAAAAATTATCAAACACTTTACCTTTTGCCACAGGAGATAACTGTCCAGGCAAGAGTGTAGGCGCCACCACATATGTTGTCAAGTCGGAGTCACCTAAAACTCTGATTCCGGAAAAACAAAGAAAATTACCTGAACGTTCAGCAACTTCTCCCAATTCGTGCCCTTGTGCCTCCCAAGGTCTTGCCCGTTTCCTCGGCATCCCTGCAACAAATTCATTATAGTGAGTTAGCAGCGGAAAACATTGTATAAAATTGATAGAAAAGGGCTAAGCAGAAAGGAAATAAGAAAAGACCCGTAGGCCTTTGCCGCAGATAACACCCAGGGACAAGACACCAATTAACCCTCCGAAAAAGTTTATCTTCACAAATCCAAATGTGAAATTATCCCAATGCAAAAATGCTTGGTTTTGACATGGATCGTATGAGAAAATATTAATTAAATAATTAAAAACCTTAAACTTTTACTTGCATAAACGCGAAAGTTTCAAGTTTCACGTTTCTGTTTCCGCGTCTCGACGTTTTGTACTATCGACGTTAGCCGTGACAAGGCCGTGCGCGGCCCGTGCGCGGCGCCCCAACGGCCACTCAGCCACCGGGCCTGGCGCTAGCCGTGCACGGCGCGCGCACGGCTACTCCACGGCTAGTCCACGGCTCCGTCGCGGGCGCGCGCCTATCGCGGCTAGCGCACGGGCCGTGCACGGCTAGCGCACGCGCCGTGCCTACCAGTCGCGGCTATTCTGTTCCGTGAACCTAGCGAGGGGCCGAGGGGCGCCTCACCCCGGAAAGGAGGGGGGAATCGCCTGCCACGGCAGGGGCAGTTAGTGCGCGCGGTCCCTACGTCCATAGGATGTATACGTTGGGCAGAGTATACGGCCCCTCCCTGAACGTGCGCTTGAAGTTAAGGTTGTGACTTTGCATTAAAAAGATTGAATGAAAAAAAGACACAGTTGGCTTTTCACAGGATTCTCCTAAGAAAGGAAAGACCCTTAGCAAAATGGGATTATAAGTAAGCCAAAACTATAAGAACCAGCCTCTCCCAATCCCATTAACAGCCTCGACCCGAAATATGCCCAGTAGGAATTTTCGGCTAGCATCGGCGCGAGTAGGGTGAATATGGAAAAATCAATAGTTGCAACTAAACACGCAAATTTTATCGCATTTTTGTTTGAAACGAACCTAATAGAATTGCTTTTGGGCCAAATTTATCCGCAAAATATCCCGAAATCGCTATCGTCACCAGACCACCATAAAACGTTGCCGAGAAGAGCAGGGCTTGCATCGATGGGGTCCAAAGTAAGGTGCCCTTAAGTCGGTTAAAAATTACATAAGGCAAATTGCAAAGGCTGCCCCGTATCCACCATCGTTTGTTGAGGGATCTTCATCAAAGTCAAGCAGGCAGTTTTCTTCCGCTTCTTGATACGAGATATTCGAAGAGCGGATATTGTTCGTATAGGCAGTCGAATTAACCGGAAAGGCCTGACATTTTGGCGTAAAGTTAGCATCAACTCACCATGCAGGTAACGCCCATGCTCAAATTTAACCTCATCGATACCGTCACGTAGAGGCCGGCCATTAGAAGGAGGCAAATCCGTAGCCGATGAGATTTCAGCGAGAATAACGGCGATTTTTCCATGGTTCTGATCGATTAATAGAGTTCTATAGATCTGTAGAACAGCTTACAAGTAACAAATTTTAGGGTTAATGTACACTAAAAATTTGGGATATTCTTCCGCGCGGTTAGCCTTTAACGTCTGTTACATAATATGCCTGGGCGGGCGGCTCGGGTCCATTTTGCATAAGCCGCCCCCGGGTTTTCGTGTTGTTCGGACTCACGCCACGGTGCGTTGATATGTGATGCAACGATCTACGTCGGGCGCTTTTTAAAGTGCAATTTTTTCTGTGCCTGCATACATAGAAAACATTTTTGATTTGCGGAGTTTGGAAAGCTGTAGAAACCAACAAAAAAGATCGTAATATTGCCGGAAAATAGAATAATTAGAGCTCCACAATAACCCCAAAAAATGTTTGTCATGAGTGTTTTAGCAGGTGAAATCAACCGCTGAACGGAAATAGCTTTTTCACCACGACTTTCCATTCCATGCCAAAAATGCACGAAGGTTTTAAAATATTTTTTCAAGCGTCTGGGCAGTTTTTGTTTTGGACTCGGCTCAAGGTTTCGATTTGCTTAAAAATGACGCAGTTTACAGGGTTATCCTACTATATATATAAAAAAATAGTGTCTGTGTGTGTGTGTGTGTGCCACTTTGCATCCACTTCCGTATCGTTGTTCCAGTAGTATCTCCAAAGGGGAAGGAGTTAAGGGTAAGTACGATACGTCATTAGGTGCGTAATGGCCTTGCGATGACGGCACGCATATCCGATTTTCAAAAATAACCCATTTTCGAGATTAAATTTAAGTTTCTGTAGAACATTCTTTGCTAGAAAATAATTTGCATAGACCGGAAGTGGTGGATCGTCTATATCAAGGGGCAGGGGGGGGCGGGGGGTTGTTTTCATTTTTTGTCATGTGAATGCAGGATAATTATGCAAAGTGCAGGATAGAATGGGGGTCAGACGGGGGCCAGGGTTGAAAAGTCGCGAAGCGGCTTTTCAACCCTGGTTCAGATTAAAAAAAATTTGAGGGAAAAAGAAATATGTTTGTCAGGATCTCCAACAGACTCATGATCCTTTAAAGGGCTGCCGACGGCATGTGTCGATCCCCCCTCATCAACAAATTGGCAAGTAGCCAACAGGGGAGAGAGCGCGCCCAGGGGAGAGGCGCAGAGACATTTTCTTTTCCACGCGTAACCGATTGTCTATGCCGTCGGCATCCATTTAAGTAACCGCTTTGCGTAATCTTTACCCTCACCATTGAAGATAAAAAACAGGGAAAACAAGGTTGAGGTATCCATTTTCAATATTATAAAAAAACCAGGGTTGAAAAGCCGCTTCGCGACTTTTCAACCCTGGCCCCGTCTCACCCCATTTTATCCTAAACCTTTGCATAATATCTTGCATTCTGATCACAAAAACTGAAAAACACCTTCTTCTGCCCCTTTATATGGTTAAATCCCTCCTTCCGGTCTATGCTAATTTGTTCTAACAAAGAGGTTTTCACAAAAACCTAAATTTAATGTTGAAAACCGCTGATTTTGTAAAATTTTATATGTGTGCAGTCATCTCCAGACCAATGCGCACCTAATGACGTATCATACCTACTTTAAAATTCATCCCCTAGCGAGATATCCTCCGGACAGACAGACGGAAGTGGATGCAAAGTGGCACACACAGACACACACACGCACAGACACTATTTTTTTATATATAGTAGGATGTTGAAATACTTAGAATTTCCAAATTCCGGTGTAATCTTCAAGCTCCCTCTACCGACTTGTTGCATAATGTGGCGACGGCTCGGGTCCACCACTCGGATAAGCAGTCCCGGGTTCTTTTGTTTTCCAGTTCCAGTGCCGTACTTCCGATTGAATTTTGCTGCAATTTACCCGTTGCCCTGTTCTCGAGAATGCACTCTTTGCCAGAGTGTGATAGTCGGTGAACAAGCACCGTGCAATGCAAAAACTTTCTGCCTAAACTCGGGACTGTGAAGCGCTAAAAACGCTCTGCAAAAAGTGTATCTGGACAGCTTTTGGCACGGAAAGACTCGAAATATCACATATAACTAAACGTGTTTATTCAGAAGCCACCACGGCGTTTACTTCATTCATTATCTAACAAAATCGCACACGATCAATGATAGGGATTAATTGGCAGTTAATTCAAGTCGATGGCGGCCTCGGAGGTGGCTGGGGTGTTGAGGGTGGGGATGGTGGTCGTTGCGGGGATTGCCCATTCTTGTATGGTTGCTGAAATTATTTGTATTTGCTAAAAGAACTAAAAGCTAAGCTAATGTTGCAAAACTTTAGGCAAGCCTACGACAAGCCTAAGCCAAGCCTATACCTAAGCCTAAGCCTAAGCCAAGCCTAAACGAAGCCTAAGCCAAGCCTAAGCCAAGCCTATGCCAAGCCAAGCCAAGCTTAAGCCAGGCCTAAGACAAGCCAAAGCCTAAGCCAAGCCAAGTCAAGCCAGGCCTAAGCCAAGCTGGTAACCAAAGTCTGACCTTTCCCATAAAAGATGAAAAACACGCCGCTGGTGAGCTGGCAGAAAGCGTCGAGCGAGAAGATGATCAGCCACTTGTTCTTCCAGCCCTAATTTTCCGGTAAGTTATGCAAACCTTAAGCTACCATTTTGTCTATCAACGACATCAGCATGGCCCCGGAAATGTTGGCGACCATCGAAAAGCTGCGGCCGACCGACGTCATCGTGCCGGTGTACGGCGGAGCGATGAGCAGCAGCGACGTGAAGAAGCCGGGAATGATGCAGGAGAAGGCGAGGCCTAGAAGCTAATCTCGCTCGTGAGCTTCAGGATTTCATACCGTGTACGATTAGAATCGGAATCGACCACTCTGGATGTTCACAATCTGGCAGGACGGCAAGGAGGAAGATCGTAACCCCACATCCGATCGAGCCTAAAGTGTCACATTTTCGCTAATGCGGCAAAACTTACTCATCCCCTGAAAGATCTTCACCGACGAGTCGGCCGTCGTAACGTTGTACGACTTCAGCACGTTGGCCAGCCAGACGATGGCCAGTTTCCCGAACATTTGCACCATGTACGGGATCATGTTGTAGACGCCGTTCGAAAGACATAGCCTTTCAGAGGAACTGAATTTTAAGGTTACCATGTGAATGGGAAGCATGAGGTGCTCCTTGAAGTAGGTGGGGAGGAAGGACTGGAGGATGGACATCGTGAAATTGGTCGCGAACTGGATGCCGTAGACGGCGATGGTGGTTTTGCTCAGAAGGAGTTTTTTCCAGGGCGTGTCTCTCTGGAAAACTGTCAAAAACCTGTAACTTCCTTCTGCTCCAAAGACTAAGCCACCCTAAGCCTAAATTAAGCTTAAGTCCAGCGTAAGTGAAGTCTAAGCGAAGGCTAAGCCTAAGCCGAAACCTAAGCCAAGCCTAAGCTAAACCTCAGCCAACACTAACCTAAGCCGCCGAAGCCAAATGCCCACCAACGGAAACGGCTTCTTCGGCCTGCCCATACTATCCGCCAAGTACAGCTTCTCATCCTCCGAAACCCAGCGACAATCCGCCGGCCGATCCGTCGAGAAAATCATCCACACGACGGCCCAAGCGATTCCGGTGAAACCTATAGTAAACCAGGTTCTTTGAGGACACACGGTTGCTTAGAATGCCGGAACTGGCGTCTTCTACCCACCAGACAAGTAGAATATCGACGGCCATTCAAAAATCGAAGTGCAAAGCCACGCGGCGATGATTGCTGTCAAGCCAGAGGTCAACTAGGAAAGCGTAGATACCTCAGGATGTCCAAATTCAAACCTGGTTCCCGAGCGTGTAAATCGCAGCCGCAGTGGATCGTTCTTTTCTGGGAAACCAACGCGTGATGACGGTGTTGATGCACGGGATGATGAAGCCCTGGTGGTGGGAAATCAAAGGTAGCAGTGAAGTAGCTTACGTCACCAAGTCCCAAAACGACACGTGAGGTGAAAAAGGACCAATAGGAAAGGTTCGCCAAGAGGGGACCGATCATCGTGGTGATGGTGAGGGTGCAGGCGGTGACTAAAATGAGTGAAAGGAACCGATCAGCCAAAGCCAAGGTTTTTTGGTTATGGATCTATGGACCTTGCCAAGCCGGCGGCCGCGACACGCAACGCGCGCATTCGTGTTTACTTGGCGTAATTGATTACGGTGCCTAGGCGGCGGCCCAGTGGTGTGTTGCGTATGGCGTTGCTTTGCCCGTCGCTACTCGCGTCGCTTTTGCGTCGCGTGTCGCACTACTTGCCGCGTTGCGTGTCGCACTACTTGCCGCGTTGCGTGTCGCGTTGCGGGTCACCTCGCGTGCGACCCAATAGCAACAATTTCACCGAGCAAAAACCTACGAAAAAGCAACAACTTCGGCCCAAACCGATCAGCCAAGTATCCCGAGGGTACGGTGGTGATGAGCGCACCATAGAAAGCGGCCGAGAAAAGCAGACTCTGCTCGGCCGGGCTCCACAATAAGTCACCCTATATAAGATTCAGTAAATCAGAAAAAATCTTGTTCCATGCCCCATATCCGGCATCATTTGATGGGCCTTGCGCCTCACAGGACGGACTCTGGCTCGGCCGGCCCAAGATGGTGTTGTTCGAAGGGGGTGTTGCGAAGGCGGTACCGTTTACCTAAACCGAAAGTAGGTGCCATTGAAGTCCGGCACTACCATGCAAGTGACAGACATCCCCAACCCAATTCTCATCGACGCCATCACGTACAGGCCGAGCATCAGCAGTAGGCATATTCGAAGGCGATGCGAGTGGATCGAGAAGAAACCGACGTGAGGGGCCTTGTCTTCTGAAGAAGGCGGGGAAGGTGGTCCGGATGACGTGGGAGAGACTGCCGTGGAGACGCTGCCAGAATCCTGCTTCGATCGAGGTGCTGCGGAGGACGGGTCATCCGGAGGGTCGGCCATGGTGGGGAGGACGACGTCAAGAATGAGATCGAGAAACAAGTGGTGGATGCAAAATTAAAACTAAGTGAGTAATATGCAAATTCCCGAACTGAAAGTAAGGATGCAAATGCTGAAATGGTTAAGCAAGTAGTAACTAGTAATCATTCCAGACGCTGGTTGCTTTTTTTTTGTTTTGACTGCGCTATGTGACATGTGGAATTTTTGACGTACGCCAGACATTGTGTACTTTTTTTGGTGTCTCATTTCCCTGCCTGCAAAAATTTGGTCTACAGTCCGCGTCATAATGATAGGTTCACCCCATTTTAGGACAGCTTGTTAATCTAGAATAAGTTTCGGATAAAACGGACGTTGTAATCAGTTAGGGCACAGCTCAAAACCTTCCAGGCCAGTATCCATTTGGTTAGAAAAGGCTTCTAGACTTCGAAGGAATTTTATCTCAAAAAAAGGCTTGCGTCATAAAGATAGGTTCACCCCGAATTTTTTCCGCAAAAATCATACATTCGGATCTTACTTGTATTTTTAATTAAGTACCATTGAAGTATACATGAGTTTCCTATACTTGGTTTGACTCGAAAGGTTTCAGGGAATTTTTTGCAAAAGTCGATTTTAACAAAGAAATTACTATTTTTGTGGCAATACGGGCTGGATTTAACCGGAAGCGCAAGTTCCTTCTATGGATTTGAAAGAGCAGCTCAAGACAAGCATTTTGGTATATAACAACGTCTTTGGCTTCGGCGATATTGGGGTGACACACACGAAGAAAGTTGGGATGGACTGCGCAAGTAAGGATTGGCGGCCATTTAGTATGGGTCCCAGTAGGTTCCATGTTTCTAGACCTGTATCTTCGTGAACACCTTAGTTCCTATAGCCGTTTATATACCAAAATGCTCGTCATTAAGTGCACTTTCCGAGATCGCCTACATACTAAAAATTGAAAACGAGTATCGCCGGATAATCCTAAAAAAGTGTGATTTCTTTGTTAAAATCGACTTTTGCAAAAAATTCCCTGAAACCTTTCGAGTCAAACCAAGTATAGGAGGAAACTCATGTATACTTCAATGGTACTTAATTAAAAATACAAGTAAGATCCGAATGTATGATTTTTGCGGAAAAATTCGGGGTGAACCTATCTTTATGACGCAAGCCTTTTTTTGAGATAAAATTCCTTCGAAATCTAGAAGCCTTTTCTAACCAAATGGATACTGGCCTGGAAGGTTTTGAGCTGTGCCCTAACTGATTACAACGCCCGTTTTATCCGAAACTTATTCTAGATTAACAAGCTGTCCTAAAATGGGGTGAACCTATCATTATGACGCGGACTGTATGACAGATTGATCAGAATTGAGCGGTCTCTGTCTCTAATTATGCAAATTCAGGATTTTTATCAATTAACGGGATCAGGCGGGCCCAGAAAAATCTGGAAAATTGGCTTAAACCGTCTCTGCTCCCTCTCGCCTGCGCCCACCCTCTACCCCGTATATTGCACTAGCATTTCCGGTTGGCTCGTTGCCAATTATCGATGAGCCCTGATCTACGCGGCGATAAAAATCAACAAGCAACTTTTTCAGCTGCATTTACCAATTTGCATTAAATTCTTTATTCATCAGCACCATGATAATATGCTCCATTCATAAAAGCAATTTAAGAGCAAAATAAAACATTTTTTAATCAGCTGGCGGCCGCCTCAGAATTTGGTGGCGTTTATGGGGCTCTTTTGGATCTGATCGTACTTGGATCGCCCCAGACTTGGACCGTAGCTAAAACATGTTTTTTTTAGAAAATGGGGATCAACCTTTTCCATGAAAAACAAAGTTGAGGCCAGTTAACAGGTGGCAGACGGCGCCGAAAGAAAAAATGATCAACCATTTGTTGGGCCAGTTCTAAAAATTGGAGTATTGGAAGCGAGAGATAAGCGCAAGATGGAGAGACGGCGAGAGAGAGGGACAGAGCGAGAGCGCAAGAAACTCGAAGTCTAACCATTTTATCAATCAACGACATCATCATGGCGCCGGAGATGTTTCCTAGGGTAGCGCAGGTACGGCCAAGTGACGTCATCGTTCCGGTGTAGGGAGGGGCGATGGACACCAAGGCCGTGAAGAAGCCGGGGATCGAACAGGAGAAGGAGATGCCTATAGAGAGATGGAGAACGAGCGAGAGAGCGAGCGAGAGAGACAGAGAGACTGAGGGAATGAGAGAGCGAGAGAGCGCTAGAGAGCGAGAGAGATATAGCGTGAAAGAGAGAGAGAGAACGAGAGAGAGCGAGAGAGAAAGAGAGTGCGAAAGATCCAGAAAATACCCCCACCGTGACATATCAAAATTGGGATGGCCCACGTAGGATGCTCGCAACTTGGCACGACGGCCAGCAGAAAAATCGTTACCCCACAACCGAGAGATCCTTAAGAACTCGTCAATTACGTTACACTACGCCCACCTAGCCCCTGAAAGATTTTCACCGACGCATCGGCCCCCGTTATCTCGCGCGCCTTCAACCAATTCGTCAGCGAGACCACGAACAGCTTGGCGATCATCTGCGACATGAAGGGGATCATGTTGTAGATGCCGTTCTGAAAAAAGGTTTTGACTTCACGTTTTGTGAGCTTTACCATATGGATTGGCAACATCAAGTGTTCCTTGAGAAATGTCGGCAAAAATGACTGGAGCAGGGAGATTGTGATGTTGAACGCGAACTGGACGCCGTAGATGGACAGTGTCGTTTTTCCAAGGAGCAGCTGGCGCCACGGGGCGTTTTGCTGAAGGTAGGAGAGGCTTTTAAAGGGGGCCAGGAAGTGACTGACCAGAGGTAGGGGTCGCTTCTGCTTTCCGAGATTTTTGGCGAGGAAGAGTTGTTCGTCTTCAGAAACCCAACGGCATTCAGCCGGGCGGTTGGCCGAGAAAATGAGCCAAACGACGGCCCAGCAGAGGCCAAGAACGCCTAAGATAACAATGTATTTTGTAGTTTGGAGCCTGGAGTTTTTAGTCCAGAAAAATTAGAGGGTCCAAGGCCCACCGAGGATGTAGAAAATCGACGGCCACCCGAGGAATGATGTGCAAAGCCAGGCAGCTATGATGGAGGTAAGTCCGGCGGACATCTAAAGACAGCAAAATCACTCTGAATTTTCTATATGCAAAGTAATATGCCTTTCTGAATTTATCTGATTCCCAAGCGTGTATATCGCTCCGGCCATCGATCTCTCGCTTTGCGGGAACCATCTGGAGATGACCGAATTGATGCAGGGGATCAGGAAGCCCTAGATCTTTTTATGAAAGATGCATAGGGAAATTACGTACGTCTCCAAGTCCCAAGATCACTCTCGAAGCGTAGAAACCCCAATATGAAGCGTTGGCCAAGGTCGGGCCGAGGAGCGTGATGAAGGCAAAATCGCAGGCGGCTGCTGAAAAAAAAGCATGAGAGAGCGAAAGAGAGAGATAGCGAGAGAGAGAGAGAGTGAGAGAGCGAGAGAGAGAGTGAGAGAGACATTGACAAACCAAATAATAACAGCTTGGGCCCAAAATGATCAGCCAAATAGCCAGAGACCAGCGTCGTCACCAGTGCACCATAGAAAGCTGCGGAAAAGAGCAGACTTCGAGAAGCCGGGCTCCATAGCAGCGTTCCCTAAGAGTTTGTTATTTTTGCAGATACCGTAAGCTACTCTGTATCCCGAATCCTCTGCAGTATCGAGGTGCTGGCTGCATTTTGGGTTTGAGATCGGGCCAGGTGAAACGCTTGAGTTCGAGTCGATTGGGGTCTCGAAGGCTGTTGTATTGACCTGAAAGCAGGTACAATAGGGCCGTAACTTTGGTAGCGCCTAGATCGGGGCTGAGATCAAAAGCAGAGGAATAGGAGCCAAATAATCAATTTTGAAAAAATGGTTTATATTACTTTATATCGTAAAAAAAAACACTGGGAAAGTTGAAATGTCCCCCTCTCCGTTAACAGTCCAGTACCAAAGT